TCGTATTCCCCTCGCGCTACTATTGGAGACAAGCTCTATCAAATGCTTGCTTATTGCGGCACTCGTCTCTTTCTCATGTTTTTTACGCAGAAGTATGACTTAAGCAGAGAGGGAGCGGGACCTAGAGTTACGGAGGGAAGCTAGCGAGAGAAATAGAGGAAAAGCAATACGAGAGTGGGTTGTGTACCGCGGGGAAATTAAGCATGTCTCTGAACTGCCCAAAAGGCCTGTTCAGGGAAACGCCTAACTCAGCGTGGTACTAGTGACTTCATTCATGTTTTTTGTTCAACTCTCGAAGCCTTGTAAACAATTTATATATTCTTCACGCCTTTCTATGTTTCTACCGTCCCGATATCGTTTGCGTTACGGAAACTTGGTTATCCTCTAAAATTTCTCACTCAGAAATTTTGATTGATTTGCCATACTCTATCCATCGATCTGACCGAAAGGGGAAAAAAGGCGGTAAGGTCTGCTGTTTAGTCAATAATGATCTTGCAGTACAATACCTTTATATTGGTCAACATCTAAACTGGCATCCTGTGCATAGACCTCTTTTCAACTGCCTCGCTTTCACTTTGAGATTCATAATGAAAGATGATGAATCTCTCTCTAATACGATTATTAATCTCTGTTCAGTTCCTACCGAAACGATCATTTTGGGGAACTTCAATAATGCAATTTCTCCCAGCAGAAACCCACAAGATAAACATTTCCTTAGTCTCTTGCTTAGTGTCAGCTTGTACAGAACTTGAAGTTCCTGCTCGTGATAATGCAGCGAATGATCTTGTTTTCCCCTCGAGTGATATTGTCAACATCGCATTCTGCCACCTTTTGGGTCATCTGATCATAATGTCGTAGCTTTTTGTACGCATTTTCTATATCCAAAAGCTTTGTCTTGCCATTTCCTAATTTCTACAAAGCAAATCATCTCGAAATGAATAGGGCACTTCTATGTGTAGAATGGATTGTTTTGATTCGTTTGACGACCTATATTACCGTTTTTGCTCCGTTTTATATAATATCTTCGCCAAATGTGTACCTTTTACCTCAGAGAAAGCTCCTTTCCAAGTATATCCCACTCATATTTGTGGTTTAATTGAACAAAAATCGCGGCTATTTGCTTCATTACCTAACCCCATGTGTGATGACTTATATAAGAAAGTTTGCCTCAATCTAAATCATCACCCCAAAGAATTTTTGTGCCATCGAGAGATTCTTTTGGCTAGGCGTTCGAGCATAGCAGTGCTCCGCCAAATGTCGTACTACTAAAAGAGAGATTAGACTGCCAGTTTTGGTTGATGAAGCCGAAAATCATTGTAGAGAGAACCAGGAGAAGGCAGAGGCTTTGGGTAAATTCTTTGCCAAGGTATTCATAAACGCACAAGCAGTCGACCTAAGGTTATCTTCTACGTTCAACCTGCTGAATCGTGTGGAGAAGTGTCAGTCAACCCTGATATTGTCTTTGGCTTACTGAAAAACTTGAAGTCAGTTGCGACTACCACATTTGATGGGATTCTGCAAGTCGTTTATAAAAGCTGTGCTCACACCTTGTGCATCCTCTTTCTTACATCTTTAATGTTTCTCTCTCAGCGGGCGTAGTACCTACGATTTAGAAAGAAGCCTTAGTTACGGCTATTCCTAAAAAAGTATGTATTGGTACCTTGGCAAATTTTTGCCATTAGTATAATGCCTTCTGCTGGTAAGATCCTCGAAAAGATAATTAGAAGAAAGTTGTTCGAATGGTTAGATGAGCATAATGTTATTCCCCGTGAACAACACGGATTTCTTCCGGACTCCTCGACAACTAGTTTGCTTATTGACTCTATTTGGCTGGACCACTGCTCTCAACAATGGTCAATCTGTAGATATCATCTATTTTGATTTTTCAAAGGCTTTTGATAAAGTTAATCACAACAAGCTCCTCTTAAAATTGGCAAACTATGGCATAAGAGGTACTCTTCCAAGGTGGCTAGCTTCCTATTTGGAGATTACTGACTACATGACTGTGCGCGTCGGTACAAGTATTCTGAGCGATACCGTTGCGGTAGTGGCGTCCCTCAGGGTGGAATTCTCTCACCGTTACTTTTCCTGACCTACGTTGCTGAATTAGCTGCATATCTGAAAACCCATCCAAGTGTCAAAATACAAATGCTTGCTGACCACATCAAAATTTTTTCTTGTTATGATTCCGATCATCAAAGTGAAGCCTTCGTGGCAATTTCTTCCTCCATCAGCAAATTGGAAATCTGGTTCAAGGAATGGGAAATCCCTCTAAATGCTTCAAAGACTACTGCTATGCACCTTGGGAATTCCCCCTGCCGTACCTACACCAGCGACGGTGTCGGTCTTGTATTTGCTAACCCAATGCGTGATCTTCGTGTCATGATTGATGCCTCCTTTTCATTCAAATCTCATATCGATCTTGTTATCAAAAAGTCTTCCGCAACTCTTTTTACTATTTTTCGAGGCATACATGGCAATGATGCTGAGGCCTTTCTGAGGCTCTACAAAAGCTATGTCTTGCCGCATCTCGAATATGCCTTGCCTATTTGCAGTCCATTTACAAAAGGAAACATTGAAAGAGTTGAAAAAAATCAAAAAAAACGTTCACCAGAATATTATTTTATAGATGTTTTCACAATTCGAATTACTCACAAGCTTTACCCTTATCGGTTGCGGTTACATAAACTTAACCTACACAGCCTATTGTATAGACGCGTTCTGAATGATCTTATTTAGTGTTTTCGAATTCTGCGCTTAGAAACAAGACTCAAAGCTAGCAAGTTTTGGATATTCAGACCGTGCAACGAACGAACAGGTAGGTGCTACCTAGTCAAGTTTTCCTACTTGGTCACGTCGCCCACTTTGTGGAGTCGCCATACCTCGTCTGGTCGCTTACTCCTCCCCGAGTCGTTGGTACCTCGTCAAGTCGCTCACTCATGGCCAAGTCGTGTATACCTCGTCAGCCGCCCACACCTCGCAAGTCCTCCATACCTCGTCAAATCTTCAATCCAGTCTACTTAGCAGATGCACTTCGCTTCATTTTTGAATAGTCAAATCAAAACAGTGAGTTATTTTGCCAGCTATCTATTTTTGTTTGTTCACTGTCACTAACTCAAACCCTGCTTCACTAATGATCATACCAGCTTGCCTCATCTGCCAGGGTACATGATTCCACCTCGTATTGTCTTACCATTACAGTCACACCTAAGTGCCCAGGTTCACTTCCACTTATGCCTTACTTCTAGGCCTTACGGGCAAGCCTTAACTGGCGCTTTTCTTAGAATCTTGCTATCCTCCAAAATGTATCTTCATCTGGGGTCTGTCAGCTAGCTTCCGCCCGTAAGCTCGAACTCAAAAAGGGTATTCAAAATAAATTTGGAAGATGCGATTCTCTAGTTATTCTTTATTTCTCAGGTAATATTTTCACTCATCAGACATTTGAAACAGATTTCGCTATATCTTAGTGGGCCTTAGGTTAGTGCATTGCTTATACGTCCATCGTTTATCTCCCTGAAGCCAAGGACAAGCTGATATCATGTTATTGTTCGACGTGTTAGAGTTCTATTCTAGCTCTACTTTGTTCTTTGGTGCACTTCGAGTGTAAAGTAAAATAAAATAAAATGAAATAAAATAAATATTTTGCGTGTGTGCATTCATATCGATATACATTTTTAACACACTTACTTAAACGGTTGCTAGCGTAATGAATGAACTGAAAGAAGAGGTGTGATTCGCCTCTGATTCTTGGAGATCTATTTGAATTTCTGTGCACTCCGCGGCTTGAATGCGGGAATAAAAGGTTGGATGGGTAACAAATTGCTGAGGCAAGATGAAGCACCTCCAAGTCTTATTGGATTCTTTCAAGCTCCGAATGCAACTTTTACAAAAAGTTCTCTAAACGGATGTAATTTTTTCCTCTACTTGGTTTCATTAGCTATGATGCGTTTCTCAAATTATTCCTGAAGGTTTTACTTTACGTGCTCTCGCTTCTCTTCCCCGCCTTCGACGCGTTCTTTGCGCGTAGCAATGCGATGCAGCAAGTGGGCTGCGTTGCGGCTTGTGAAATTCTGCGAGTAACTTGTTTTTACATGAATAATTGAGATACTTCTCAGGAGCCCCTTAATTCGGACTAGCTTAGTGAGAAGAAATTTCAGGGTAGGGATAAGCCGCCCTCTATCCTGAATTTTCAAGGTTATAACACAAAAAATTAGAGCATCCCGATTTTTTTTTCGGAAGGCGTGGCTGGTCGGTTGCATCTTTAGGAAAAAAGCTATCCTTCCATCCTCCCCACCCCCCTCACACGCCTCCCAAAATGTTTCACCGCCACTATCAGCTATGAGTACAGAGCTTTTTACGTGTTCATTGGAAATATCAATACTATGATCAGGTAAATTCAAGAATAAGAGCATGAGTAGCTTGAACGCCAATCAATTAGACCTCTATGTGAACGCTTTGAAACAACAGTCATTAAAACTAAATTTCAAGATTGACCGTGGGGCCACAGCGGAGAAAGAGACCCTACACTGAACGTCATGTCGAAGCAGCTTTACGTCGACTTGAGAAAAAGGCAATTAAATGGATACGATTTCTGAAACACTCTGCGTCCGGAATGCTTTATGGTATTTACTCTACTCCCATATGAAGTGCTCTTTTTTCTTGTCCAATAATCAGACATAAGAACGATGTTCCATCGCACAGATTCTGTTGTTCATTGGAATCATGAAAAGCTGTAGGGCAAAAATCAATCTTGCAGGTCTTCAGGTCTTGGTGATTCAAAGCACTTTGTTTTAGTTGCATTGTGCAATGCGAGACAGCTTTACACCCAAAAATCCACAGCGATTTCTTGCTGACAAACAGCTTCTCTTCGCTGTTGTTGAATGGTCAACGCAGGACTGGAGCAAGTGCTGGGCGAAACAGATAGTGAGATAATGATAATGAGTGGTTGCTCCAGCATAAACATGTTTTTGTTGCAGTTTATCAAATATGATACTGAGTAAAACTTCCACCTTTTATTTTGAAGATTGCTTTACAAGCCGACAACAATATTAATAGGAAAATTCGATATTCTTCCGTTTTGGCCTCCTCAACTTATCGGCACCAAATCCTGATAAGGCATGCTACCGTCAGCACTTTTCCTCCAAAAGCAATCACATTTGGATGCGCCATGTTTTGAATAATCCATTGTCCAATCTAAAAAGATTAAGATATCAGTATTGAATTTGACTCGTCGATACAGTTTATGTCCATGCATGTTGGCTTCTACCGCATGCCGAAATTTGCTTGTCCGCACTGTCAACTAGCTACGCCAGTAATGCCGGCATTTTGCGCGCGCAATTCGCAGGCGTCATAGGCGTAGCTGTTTATTCACGCAAAAAATTTACCGCATTCCATCTGCAGTGCAAGCACATCATATTAAGCGAGGAATCTACTCGACTGTACGTCTGTGAAGCCGGGCAATCGCGCGCGCAAAATGCGGCACTACCAGCGTGGCTAGGTCCACGCACAAATTTCGTCGCATTTTACCTGGACTGCAAGCACACTTTATTAAGCAGAAAATCTACTCGACTGTACCTGAAGAACTTGTAAGATTAGAACCTGCTCATTTTCAGTACTTCCCCTTGTTTCTTTTTCTTTTTTGGTGCGATTGGTTATGTATCGATTAGTAGTACGCATTCCTACGGTTCGTTACGCTAGAAAAAGTTTCACTGAGGAGGTGCTTGTTAGGGTGACGTCGCTTGCCGAGTGTAGTGTGCAGGGCTCACATATTGAATTACAAATGACTCAACATACACAGACTGTTCATCATAACAGTCTGATAATTACCATCATTAGTAACTTGATATGCGTGAGATAGCGTGAGATCTTATAAGTTGTAAGGTTGTCCTGCTACTTCCAAAAATTTCTTCTTTTTATTCCTTTTTTGGTTGATTGGATATGTGTTAGTAGGTAGCACACATTTTAGTTTCGCAAGAAAAGAGTTTACTGGTGGGTTTTATTGATAAGGTGTCGTCGGTTGTCGCAGTGCACGGGTCCACATGATAAATAGCTAGTAACTGGGAGTAAGCTATCTCAATCTGATTATGCTGTTGACAATGAGGTTGCGCCCAAAAGTCACGGTCGTGAACGCAGCGGAAGGCCTGAGCGATATGCTTGGAATATTCGAAATTTTTTGGATAATCCGATAATCGAATATATTCGAAAATAAAAAATGTCGAATAATCAATTGAATATTTTAATATTGAATTTGAATATTTTCAAGAACAAAAAATGTCGAATATTCAAATTGAATATTTTCAAAAATCAAAAAATGTCGAATAATCGAAAATCGAACATTTTGAATAATTTTCGCAAAATTGAATATATTCGAGATAAAATTTTGAATAAACGAATACTTTGTATTCTAGGCCGATTAACCAAACAATTTGGTTCAATCGACTAAACAACAAACGATATCTGCTGATATAGCATTCAAAAATATTATGCATGTTACTGAACTGGTAGAAGATCCGGTTCTGCTCAATCTACATTCAGACATTATAAATTGCCAATCTAACCCACTCTAAACACCAGTTTCCTGTCCCCACCGTTGAGAACGCAATCAGTAAAAGCAAAACTGTTCACTCCTACAAAACACCCATTCTCGATCAATGTCTGCAAAAATCGTTTGAATAATAAGCATAATTGTCAACGTAATAAGTAATATCCTATCCCTTTACAACGCCCAGTTCCTCAGCAGCATGATCACTTGATCTTGTACACGAATTCTTGGCTTCCAACTTCAAGTCCAAACATTTTTTCTGAGCATTGGTTGTGCTCCGACCCCCTTTCAACGTCTTGCAAAGGGGCTTTTTAAGATATGAAGAGCAGATTAAATTGAAAAAGGTTTGCGTACTTTTGAATCCCCTAATTAATTGTTTTTCTTAAAGCTTTGATCCAATAAATTCTTTGATTTGTCGAGACGCAGGCTGATTACAATAGTCTGACCATCCCAACGCCGACTTGGCGGTGCCACCAACCAGATGAGCCGGCACTCCCCGCTCAGATAATCGCGGGGGCAGGCGGTCCGCAAACTCGCGTTTTCTTGCGGGCGGTCAGCAGAATTTTGGGGCGTGGCCAAATTTTCAGCGGGAGGTACTCCTTTACTGTCAAATGTCCTGCTAGCGGGGCAGAATACAGAGATTTCTGCGAGCGCTCGTCAAATAATCTCTTTCAGCGAGCGCTGGCCAAACTTTCAGCAGGCGCTCGGACTCTTTTTAAGCAGTTTTGGGCGTACGTCGAGCAAATGTGAGACTCTGTGCTGCAGAGGTGTCATCGATGTTTAATTACTCAAGGTTGAGGTACTTTCTCTTAGCGGAAAGTACCTGAGGACTGTGTGGTCCTCCAAAGAACCCCGCGCTTTCAATAATTTTGCATATTCTCGCGGAAAGTCCGCGAGCATGCAGCCAATGAGCCGCAACTAATCTATAGGAAAGCCGCGATAGTTCTCCAAGCATTCGTCTAAAAATTGGACAAGATTCCTTCAAATTTCTGCAAGCGGGCCGCAAGAAATCAGCGAACTATTTTTCCGGTGTCCGCTTGCTCAAAATTCGCATGACCGCCTGCCCCCGCGACTATCTGAGCGGGTGTCCCTATTCCCCCCCCCACCATTCATGTTCCCACTTCAAATCTATATCGATAATGAATCTAATCAGGACGGTTATGTTAATACAAAGCAATATAGCAGGGTGGAGGGATCAAGTTTAACTCGCAGACTTGACAGACTGTTTTGCAATCATATCCAACCTAGTACGGTCGCTTTCATGCGAAAACGAGGTCTTGGTGAAAACAACTTGCAATGAAATGACATCTAAATGCAGGGAAACAACTGGGAGGAGAAAGAGCGCGGAGGACACAAGCAACTACTCAGATAATCGCCAAGGGCAAGCGGTCCTCAAACTCATGCTTTTCTGAAAGCTACCTTCAGCGAGCGGCACTTCCTTTACGGTCGCATATTCAGCCAGCGAGCAGCAATATAGCATCTTTTGCAAGCGCTCGGCAAATAATTTCTCAGCGATCGCTGGCCAAACTTTCAGCAAGCTCTTGAACTCTTTTTGCGCAGTTTTGGACATAAGTCAAGCAAAGGTGAGACTCTACTCAGACAATCCGGGGGCAGGCGCTCCGCAAACTCGCGCTTTCCTGCAGGCGGCCAGCAGAATTTTGGCGCGTGGCCAAACCTTTAGCGAGCGGTACCTCTTTTGCTGTCGTATGTTCTGCCAGCGGGCAGCGGTACAGAGTTTTCTGCAAGCGGTCGTCTACTAACTTCTTTCAGCGAGCGCTGGCCAAACTTTCAGCAAGCGCTCGGACTCTTTTTACGCAGTTTCGGGCGTACGCCGAGCAAAGGTGAAACTCTATGTGGCAGAGGTGCCATCGCTGGTATGATTACTCAAGTTTGGGGTAATCTCTCTCTGCGGAAGGTTAAGAGTAAAATTTGGCCTAAATAAAGTGTGTCTAACCAAATGAATCGAAAAATTCACCCGTAATTTACTTCATACATAAAATCAAATTCTAACTCAGGAATATGGAAGGTACGCTATGGGCTGTGCGGTCCTTCACAAAGGATCGTGCGGCCCTCAATAACCTTGCATATTCTCGCGGAAACTCCGCGAGGATGCGGCCACTGCGCCGCAACTTATCCATAGAAAAGCCGCGATAGTTCTCCAAGCATTCGTTAGGAAATTGGCCAACATTATTCCAAATTTCTGCAAGCGGGCCGCAAGAAATCAGCGAACTATTTTTCCGATACCCGCTTGCTCAAAATTCGCATGGACGCCTGGCTCCGGAGATTATCTGAGTAAGATCACATTTATTCCCTTACACGAAATTGTCGAATAATCGAATAACTATTGATAATGAATGATCAAATGTTCAAATATATTCGAAAATCGAAAAGTATGAATAACCGCATAGTCGGATAGATTCCAAAATAATGGATTTCGAAAAGCGAATATCGGGTAAACTTTACTCGAATAATATTCGAAGTTCAAATATTCAATTCTCTCCAACGTGTACTGAGCGAGGAGGAGTGAGGACTCTAGCGGCTACACTGCATCACTCTGATTGGAGTAGCTTTAGACATGTATGTATATAAACTTGCGATATTCCTTTCAGGGATGCTCTAAGATGTAGAAGTGCGAAATGATTGGGGACTTACCGATGCTCCCAAATATTTGGTATGATCTAGGGTGGCGTATGCGCGTGCATTCAACTGTAATCCAAGCCACATATCCGAATATAAATTGCATGACATAAACAAGAACGATAAGCACATTAGAGCCTGAAAATAAGGTGAACAATCTGAGCAAATTCCTCAGATTTCATCAAGCTGACTTTTAATGGATGGAGGTGACGGAGTACCGGGAACCCGTTATGTAGTACTAGTTTTATATGCGCGCTCACGCCCATTACAGATTGATTAATAACAGTCTTAGTTGAAAGTGTGTTGTCACTGAGCTCATACAAAAATTACTAGGATGATTGGTCAAGGTGATAATTTTTCTGAATGTTACGAAATGTATCTCAGAGTCTTGATGCATTCATGATCACTCTCGCGAATTGGAGTCCTCCCCAGCTGCAAACGTCAGTGGTAGAATTTTCCTGCATCGGCGACAAAAGCTGGGGACGCCATCCAAAAAATAAGGTAACGACACGCGGAAAAAAGTAGCGACTTTGCGCCATGCTTCCATGGCCTGCCACAACACGGATACACTAAGCACACTCAGAGGCCCTAGGCTACCGCCCTAGCCCTAATTCCCACCGCCAGCTATCTCAAGCTGCTCCTAGCACCGTTGACAATTATGGCTCATTAGTAACTTGAGCACTCGACTAGTATTGTGCCAATCCTCTATCTAATGGAACCTGACGTTAAGTACACAATACGTGAAGTACACCTAGCACGAAGATGTAATAGGAGCTAAGGCTTAAGTCCCTGACTGAACACTCCATTATTACACTAGGAGTTGAGTTGTCAACCATTTTTCCCTATTTCGAACCGAATACAACGGGCAGGTACACACCGGCCAATAATTTCACCTAGGGGCCAGTAAAAAGGGAACCTCCTGTGGGTTGCTCCTCTGCCGTATGGCAAGCGAGCTTACAGGTTGCCTCGGTGCGGCGTGCCAGTCCTCCAAGCGTGGTAATGTTAGACTCGCATGAGTTGAACATTGCGCTGCTTGATTGATCGATTGATAGCTAAGGTAAAGTTGAAGCCGACTGCTTTCTGGTAGACAAATGAGGAGAGATTTATGCAAAGTGAGGCGGTATTTATAGCGGGCATGAGAGGCGGGGCAGCGAGGGACTGCCGTAGGACCCTCTGCGCGGCAAAGATGAACTCCCTTGAAGAATGCGCGCAATCTGCGACAACTATCTGGTTTTTTTTGAATTTTGTCACTACAAAACAGAGCAATTCCTACAAGTAAAAAATTACAACGGATCGTGAATGGTACTGAAGGATGGTAGTATTAAAGGGAAATTACAATATGTGTTCGTACTTCTATAAGGGGGGGGGACCAATAAGGTAGGGGGTGCTGTTTGTCCTGTTAATGCTTGCTTCCAGCAAGGATAGCGCCGGGGGCACTCATTAACGACTCTCGCAGATTAGCCTAAGAGAAAAGATTATTTTTTGTAAGAAATTTAAGCTTTTTGTGTGTCATATTTGCATACTGTGCCATGAAAAGCGTGGATAAGACGAAGAAATATGGAAGTCCAGGTCCGGATGCTGCCATTAAGGACGTTCATGTGCTTCTCCTGAGCTTGCGGACATTTTTGGATTTTTGATTTGTTTTAGAAGCTGTGATTACTGCTCAGCAAACTAACGTAATCGATTGATTCCCAGCTCGCTTCTACCTCAACGTGGGACATCGAATATGAGATCGCTGCTGGAAGTAATAACGCTAGACTTGCAAGTCCTGTGTAGTACAAACAAAACTGCTCCAGATGTGCTAGAAAGGAAACTTAATAAGATAAAGAACAGTAGATCAGAGAAACTGCAAAAGAAATGCTATGCAAAAGGCTCACCTGCCTTACCTGCAGAGCTACTCTCACTGCAGCGATTATACGTTCGTTGCATCGTCAAAAGTGATATTGCTCTAGCGACTGCCAGAAATGGTGCGCAAAGAATTGATTTGGTAGTGTATTCAATTTGGCCAAACTCTAACCATGATAAAGAGGCAGCAAGAGCTAGCGGGACCTACAAAACATGTATGCTTTACGATACCGCTCATAATTCGTCGAAGAAGTCACCGAACTCAACCGTAGTTTATTGAGATCCACGCATCACCATTTCTGGTTCAGAGTGAGAGGAGTCAAAATTTTCTTTCTTTTCAGACCAAGCTGCGGTCGTGTGGCCTCAGTGCGGTTACCTGCAGACAACTGTAGTCAGTTGCAGTCGGCTGCAGGCAGTTGCAGTCCGTTGCAGTCAGCTGAACTGCGGCAGTATGAAATATGAAACAACCCTTACAATCTGAGTGTTAGGTCGACGAGGCCCGGGTCCTCGCGAGCTGCCTCGCTTGAGCCATTCGACGCATTCGCAAGCGTGTCTTGGAGCATACCCAAGCTCGTCATCCATTGATGCCTACGGACAGGGGACAGGACTTGAGCCCCCCTGACGGCCAAACTGTAACCCATGCGGGTCACTATAATTACCAAAGTCTTTAGGATTCAGCAACACGTCAAGTCCCACCACATGGCAGACCTTCCGGACTCTAGTCAAATAATGGATAAGCTCTTGCATCGCCAGAAATTTCTTATTCCGAAACAGAACTTTGGTTTGTTGCCAAAAAGCTCAAACGAAGTTGAAAAGCTCAAATGGAATCAAATGGACGAAAAAATAAGAAAAAGCAGATGGTATAGATTGAATTGAAATGGGTATTGTTAGAGTTCCAACAAGGGTATCAGTATTACAACAAAGAAGAATTCAAAAGCTTATAATAAGTCTAAAAAGTTCAATTTGAGGTCAAATGGATGAACAAAGATCAGAAGAACCAAATCAGTCTAAATTGAGCTAAGATTTACGACTATCCAAGTTTCAACGATGCTTTCGCTATTAAAGTTCAAAAATTCAAAAAAAAACAGCAAGTAAACGCTTGAAAAAGTACTGTAATTATCAGAAGAAAAAGCTTATTTAGATTTCAGTTGAAAATTTGAATTTGACAATCTTTGCGCAATCTTTCAAAAATTTTAAAATTGTCAAAAAACGTAAAATTGGAAACCGTGTCCTTTGAGTAGGAAAATATCGCCAAAATATATAAAGCCTTACACACTAATCGGTTTGAGAATTGGGCGCAACTTATTGATATCGAGAGGTAGAGCGCCAGCTGCTTTTGACCTAAATTTTGCGTAAAAAGTGAAAAACGTTTTGTGCGATTAAATAGTTCATTATGAACGTAATATCATGACTTATAATAACGGGCTAAGGATGTTTACGTGACTTTGTGTGTCTGTCTGTGTGTGTGAGAGTGTGTCTGTTACGAAATTCGTAGAGCGTGTCCCAGCCAACCTCCTGGGCTCAAATTTTGCACAGCGCATGTACCCGCATGAAAGTCCAACATGCAAAAGCACGAGCAGATTCGTTGAGTGAATCCCTCAGAAACTGCGTGTCAAACGGATCCACTTTGCATTTGGGCCGCAAAACTGGGTCCGTAATTCCACTTTTTTTAGAGACGTAGATGTATTTGCCAAGTAAATGTGCAAGCCATGAACTTAGGCTCAAAAAATGATCAAAGGTCCATTACTTTACAAAAACGGCGCCAAAAAGTATTGGTTGCGTAAATGGTCAATTTGACAATGTTTTACAGACCATTTGACTAGATTTTTGCACAGAGATGTAGCTCACGGTGACAGCTGTTCTTATAGCAACTGTAAAGACCATGTAAAAATCAAAAACCTATTAAAATTTGCATTTGCTTTCCTGCAAAAAGTCTCATCCACGCGAAATCACCGATTTCACATAAAAAAGCTTTCGGAATGAGTAATTGTTTACATTTTGTTCGTGATAGTCGGCATTGCTGGGTGATTTCCAATGCCATCATTATGCGAGAATGAGTAGGCCCTAGATAGTAGAGCAGTGCGAGCCTCTGCGAAGCAGAGGTGACGCACTGGTTTGAAATAATGCGCAAGGCATTGACAGAAATTTCTTGAAAGAATCTTTTACGAAACTTGTAATTATTCATAAAAAGATGAATATGGAGAGTTTGTGCAAAGCCCCCCCCCCACAAGGTCGGCCGCCTCAACGTGGCGTGGGGGTGACACAGGGTGTTGAACTGCGATGCACAGCCGAGAGTATACTCTGGTAAGGCTTCCCAAGCTGTGAAGGAGTTCGAGGTTTCCGGTTTCGGCTGGATGCCTACCTAAAAGCCGGCCAGGCGCCAGATCCCCCGCCATCTGATTTTCTCGGTCGCTAGACCGTCCCTCCACGCTCCACACCCGGTCAGCGATCGTCCCGTGGAAATCAGGTAAGCCCTAGTAAGTCTGCTCTTGCAGGGGAAAAATTCCATTACTCTACCAGCTAGAAGGATAGAAAGAAACCCTGCACATCGGATCCCGCCTACGGCGCCAGGTGGTAGCAAGACTGATGTCAGGGTCCTCAGGGCGCCTTCTGAATTAGACAAACACGACACGTCTGCCCGGACGACACGCCATGGAGACTGCCTCATGCTCTGCAATTACAACGCCAGGACAGTCTCCACAAACGCAGACCTCCATGCTGTTCTCGACGCTGCAGGGCACATCAAGTACCACATCATCGCTCTGCAGGAACCGAAGTCCAGGAAGAAGGACGTGCGACAGACGAGTGATGGGACACTCATCATTCGTGGTGAGAAGGTTCCATCACGAAACATTGGACGCGATAGCTTTGTCGCCCGCCTATCTATCGTTCATCTTGTCGATCCGCATGCGATTCTATCACCTCGACTAGCCATCCTACAGCTACGACCTCCATGTCAGAAGACCACCAGCATCATCAACTGCTACCTCACCAACATCAGCGGCTGACGACTCAGAACTAGATGCTTTCTACGAAGACGTGGAGGAGAATGCGTAGCAAGTGGTACCCAGGCACCCGACTGCTATCGCCGCCAGCCGCCAGAACTGGCGTCAGCGCCGCATATGGTAAAATATTTACTCCAGCCGTCTCAAATCTCCTGCCGAGAGGTTTTCTCGCACCTCGTTGCGCCGAGATGCGATATCAGCCCAGAGACAGCGCTATTATCAACATTTACATCATTTTGAACGGCAAAAATCCTATTAATCTTATATATAAAGCTGAATGTCTGTTTGTATGTCTGTCTGTCTGTCTGTCTGTCTGTCTGTCTGTCTGTCTGTCTGTCTGTCTGTATGTATGTCTGTCTGTACGTATGTTCCGAATAGAAAATTCCATTTCTGAACCGATCCGGACCAAACTTGGCACACATACACTACGGGCCCCGGCGGGTGTCATAGGCTACTTTTCGTCATCGATCGATATCGATTTTATCGATTTTTATCGATTTTTTTGCTGAGTTCACCTACGGGGCTGGGAGTTGGCACAGGGGGTAATCGAGCATGGGGATTCCGAATACAATATTGGTTTTCAGGATTATCGATTACTTTTATCGATTTTATCGATTTTTTGCAAAGTTTGAGCTACGGGGCTGGGAGTTGGCACAGGGGGGTAATCGAGCATGGGGATTCCGAATACAATATTGGTTTTCAGGATTATCGATTACTTTTATCGATTTTATCGATTTTTTGCAAAGTTTGAGCTAGGGGGCTGGGAGTTGGCACAGGGGGTAATCGAGCATGGGGATTCCGAATACAATATTGGTTTTCAGGATTATCGATTACTTTTATCGATTTTATCGATTTTTTGCAAAGTTTGAGCTACGGGGCTGGGAGTTGGCACAGGGGGGTAATCGAGCATGGGGATTCCGAATACAATATTGGTTTTCAGGATTATCGATTACTTTTATCGATTTTATCGATTTTTTGCAAAGTTTGAGCTAGGGGGCTGGGAGTTGGCACAGGGGGTAATCGAGCATGGGGATTCCGAATACAATATTGGTTTTCAGGATTATCGATTACTTTTATCGATTTTATCGATTTTTTGCAAAGTTTGAGCTACGGGGCTGGGAGTTGGCACAGGGGGGTAATCGAGCATGGGGATTCCGAATACAATATTGGTTTTCAGGATTATCGATTACTTTTATCGATTTTATCGATTTTTTGCAAAGTTTGAGCTAGGGGGCTGGGAGTTGGCACAGGGGGGTAATCGAGCATGCTGATCATCCCCAAGGGGGGTGATCAGCATGCTCGAACACCCCTGTGCCAAATTCCAGCCCCCTAGCTCAAATTTTCAAAAAAACGATAAAATCGATAAAAGTAATGGACGATCTTGAAAACTAATATTGTATTCGTGATCTGCATGCTCGATTACCCTCTGTGCAAACTCCCAGCCCCGCAGGTCAAACTTTGCAAAAAAATCGATAAAATCAATAAAAGCAATCGATAATTCTGAAAACTAATATTGTATTCGGAATCCCCATGCTCACTTCCCCCCTGTGCCAACTCCTAGCCCTGTAGGTGAACTCTGCCAAAAAATCGATAAAAATCGGTAAAATCGACATCGATCGATAACGAAAAGTGGACTGTGACACCCGCCGGGGACCGAAGTGTATGTGTGCCAAGTTTGGTCCGGATACGGCGGAGCCGGGTAAGCCAGCTAGTTACTGATAAAAAACAAATGACCAAATTTGCATAGCGTAGGTTTCTTAAAGGAGAACGGTTAAATTCAATTCCTTGAAATAACCAGAAATTGATATAAAAATGCAAAGTGTTCACTTATCAAAATATCCTTTTTGGAATTAAATTGGAGGAGAACATTTAAGACATGACGAAAAAAAGTCTGCCAAAATTAGCATTTCAGGACTTAGTGATGTTGAGCGAGCTTAATAAGCCAAGGTGGGTGATAATGAGCCGAAGTAGGTCGAAAATTGAGTAGGTCACTGATAGAATGTCACATTTGCTGATATAAAAGATAAAAGCGTAGATCATCAAAAAGTTATTAGGTTGTGAAAAAAGTTTCCGGGCAGTTTTGAAAATTTAATTTTTAGAGTAATGTTTCCTGCTTTCGATTGAATTTTTACAATATATTTTTTACAACATTCTCAAAGGCAGCGTTCCGCCAAACTGGGGGGTTCCTGGCTCTGGCAG